AACATTTCAGCTTTTTCTTGAGCACTTTTTACTTGTTCACCATTCACATTTTTCATGGAACAGACGAAGTTTTTTGTCTTCCTAAGCTGTGCTTTACTAAAGCCCACCACTTTTTGGAGGAAGAATTGACTCGGTCGGATATTTTTTCATAAAATTTTTTCTTTGCAGTGGCGCATGAGCTTTCTTAAAATTAATTGATATGCTCACTACATTAAATTCAGAAAACTCAAATCTACTTTCTCTAATCGCCTTGAAACGATGAACCATCGTAAATTTTTTCAACAGAGAAATTTGTAACTGTTATAGGCAAGTGACAAATAGAACCCAAAAAATGGAAAATTAAAAGAATAAATGAAAACAAATAAAGTAAAACAATGAAAAATATTTGCTGCCAAAGTTTGACAGACATTAATGGCGGGACGATTTTGGCATAAGGAGAGTAGCAATACGGGGCAAAAATCAAATTACTTTTTAGCCTCGAAATGAACTCAGAAGTGGATTTGACAGAAATGTAACCGGTGCTGGCCGGTTCGGTCTGGTCAGGAATTTCTGACCGGCCGGTCGAGAAAAAAAATGTTTTTTTTGTCAGAAAAATCAGTACTTTGTCGAANAACAAACCTTTTCATATTTCTGATTAAAAAAGTTATTTGATTTTCTCTTTTTTGTCATCAGTCTTCGAAAGCAGGACTGTTAATCTGTACTACGTGAATATTCCGTTCGTTTTTCTTTCTTTTTTAATGTTTTTAATGCACTATTAACGGCGCTAAAATGCAAGGCCGGTCGTTATTTTTTGAATAACTCAAGAGGAATAAAAGATAGAGACTTGCGGTTTTCATCATTCGCTAGCCAGGATCAGAGGCTATCTTTTCATAAGCAAAAACGAGTTTGTAAAAATTTCAAAGATCGTTTTTTCAGGAGATCTGTGGGAAACCAGTTCGGTTCTCTGAAAGGCCGACACAGAAATCTATGGGTTTGTTTTCATACATATGAGGTAGTGCATGATGACTAAGTTGCTGAATGAACTTTCACAAATGTTTCTCAGATTTTCACAGCAGACAGAGAAATGTGTCCTGAACATTTTTGTCTCTTGACATTTTTTTCCAAAGTGCTTTTCCTCGACGCTAGAGCGCTTGCAAAAAAGGTCGTAAAATACGGAAAAAAAGTTATTTTCCAGTCGAAAATTTTGCTATACTTCCGTCAAATGAAATGCTAATGAGCTTAAATTTTTATCAGAGCTGTCTTGGTATGAGTACCATCCATGATAAAAATCTGAACTTGTTAAGCGTTCTCTAGAAATAGTTTATCTATCAATCTCCGCAAATCACAGATGTCTAACATTAAATTTCGATTTTTCAGAGATGTTTTTCCGAAGCCCTCTATATTTCACCTTTGCAAACTTTTTCGGAAAACAAAGAGACATAAACTAGAAAGAGAATTTTACGCGGATTCCAAATATCACATTATTCTTGAACGATGACCTTTCCTTCGCTCTGTGGTCACAATTCTTTTCTACCAACTTTTACAATTATCTAATTTTAAGAGAGTCTTAGTATGATAATAAAAAATAAAAACAAAAACAGACGATAGGTTCGCATAACTGTCATCATGTTATTATGTTCAACGCGGTATCAATTTTGATAGAGCCTGGACTCGAGAAAAAGATGTATCACGCTGAATCGTTGTCGCTCCACATGTGTTAGGAAAAAAGTTAACACCATTTTCTATCTAAGTGAATTGATAGGTGTTCGAGGATTGTAGTAGGATTGAGATTTTTTTGCATAGAATCTGATAATAAACGAAACTGAAGTCAGTTGTGCTGGGAGCGTTAGAAAGAAACAACTCATACAAGTTCTTTCTGAAAACTAAACTCAGACGATGTTTTATGTCCGCTAAACAACTGCCTCTAACTTAGATAGCGAGGAGTATGGGTTGGACCTGCGTGGCAGTTATACGATGGATAGATTTCTCCATACAAATCTCCAATTCTCACAGTCTATAAACAGACATTCACATTTTAAACAAGATCTTTCAGCTGCAGTTGGATACTGTCTAATATAGAACGGGATAAAATATTTTATCAGAATTTACAATATGATGCTAGTCACACATGGATAGAGTTTTTGATATATAACAATATATTGTTCTTTGAATTTTGACTGTATGTATTGACTGTACATCAATTAAATTAAATTGTTCATACCTCGAACGAACAACATGGTACCCACAATTGATATCACATGAATTTGTTATATTTATTCAAAATTTAACGATCACTACCATCAAAAACGCACGGGTGCTGATCATAACCTAACACTATACGGAGACATCCTAGAAGCATGTGGAAGTAAATTCTTTTTCAACGATGGAGTTGTATCGGCAGTGAAAAACTGTTTAGTCGACTTTTGTAACAATCCAAACACTCCATCTCATAGTCACTGTGGTAATTTAAATGTATTATTCGAGTATATATACATACAGTCAAAATTCAAAGAAAAATATATTGATATATATCAAAAACTCTATCCGTGTGTGACTAGCATAATATTGCAAATTCTGATAAAATATTTTATCCCGTTCTATAAAGAGCGTCGCGGGTTAATAGTTTCTACTGATGAATCATCGATGCAAAAATTGATATTACACTTGTTACTTCAATATTTACTTATAGATGACAAGGATTTGACGCATCCGACACTCACTATGCCAGAATTGGATGACTTTTGCCAGACGCTGTTTGTCTGGAAACTACAATATTCGACTGCATATTAACTCAAAAACCGCATGCCAGTAATCTATCATTAGCACTTCTGTATTATTTCAGCATACTCAATCATTATGTAAGGTCTGTGTTTTTCCAACCTTGTATACGTAAAACTACATCGCTGGTTGATAATTTACTGCAGTTTCTATGTTTAACAATATTTTTAAATGAAAAAAGCAAGGAACGCGTTAGATTAGTCCCACTTATTGTACGATCTTGACATCAGGATCTGAATTTTCGAAACAATTACTTTACTTTATAGTTTATCAATTGAACTATCTGTTGTAAAATATTTAAAAACATTCAGAGATAATGTATCAGTTATATTTGAGATACTATACAGAGATTGTGAAATTAACACAATTAAATTCTATTGTCAAACATTGATAGGCCTAATGAATGACAATACCGATCACCTAGAATCGCCTTTGGAAATAGGCACAAACTATGTATTAACAAAATCAAATTTATGAACAGGCCAGAGACGTGCGTGGCAAGGACTTTTCATGCCCCGCGGGCCCCGTCCCGCGGCTTCCGCCTACCCGTCCCCGTGGACCACTGGTTTAAATAACTCCGCCCGTGCCCCGTAAAGTTTTCTCTAACCCGTCCCGCCCGCCCCCCTGTGACCTGTGAGAGTTTTCATTCATCACACAGTTTTATTATTTAACTATTAATCTAATTACAATACATGATACATGACAAGTTTTTTCAAAAAAAATAAGATTAAGTTTATATGTTTTTCTTTGAACGATTGGTAGATGATCGAATAAGTATAATATCGTTCACAGTCGATGGACTAATATTTGTTCTTCTTTGAGAAATAACAACATCAGCTGAACTAAATGCACGTTCAACCGCAGTTGACGAAGCAGGAATACTAAATATCTTTCTGGATAACTTAGACATATTGGGCAATAATTTTTCTTGTTCTTTCCAGAACAACAATGGATTCTCATTATCGTTGTTGAGCGTTGTAGTTCTCGATAATTTCATCTGTAGATATGTTTCCATTTCACGTTGAGCCCGCACTGAGATTGTCAGCTTCTTGCCAGGTTCATTATATTCAACTTCATCATCAAATTGTGTTGTATAAGATTTAAATTTCTTCTGTGGCGAAGGATTAACAATGACAGGAGATTCTACTGATCGATTATCTTCAGCTCGTTCTGTTTCAATAATCTTTGCCAATTCAGAACGAACTAGACCATGAGCATGAGCACGTTCAGCATCTGTAGCTAATTTGAGCATACGAGTACGAGAATTAAGTACTGCAATCCAATGAAGATCATCCAATACGAACATTGTCTTCAGTAGTTTGTCGGGATTAGTAACATAGATCAGTAATTTTTTACTTCTTTTTTCTATCCTTGCCATATTTCTATGATTTTTCTCTTTTTACTGAACTTTCATATGTGCTTTACCATTTTTCTATCCTAGCATTTATTCTCTCTAAAGTAAAAAAAGCATGAACAGCACTCAGTTTATTTCAATTAGCCACAGAACGTCGAAAAACCCTCCAAAGATCCTCTGAAGATCCTTTGAATATCTTGAAAACTTCTAAAACCGATTTCATTGGATTCTACATGCTTTTACCCATGTGCATCTCATTTTATCAGGGTTTGAGCACAGAATTCGCTAATAATTCGATATCCTTTTCTTTAGGTCTCTGTCACCCTTACTGATTCGTTTTTGTTGTTGATGGCGTTTCTCAACAACGAGATGGAAGTTAGCAAAAGTAATGCATAGCTTTGTAGCCCGTCAAATGGCGATTCGAATGAGATATAATTGAAGGATATAACTTTGAAAACCAGGGACTTGAAAGCTTCACCGTGAAGGTCAAACTGACTCAGGGTGGCTCAAGGAGGGTCTGAATTTCTAGCCTGAACACGTCATATGAGATCAAGCTCTGAATAACTTTTGTAGACCCACTGCGACGTGCGGAATCCGAATATGAAAGAATTA